AGAATTGGATAATAACTTTTGGAGATATTCAAATAGATGCAGATTTTCTGCTACACCTGAGACAGGAAGCTGTAGATCATCCTTGGCGTCAGTCCATCCAACATGATGGGCTGTCAGTAGGTACTCATCCAATCCTAAGACGCAATATGAGGCCTTTACAACAAGAAGACATTAAAACTCCATGTATCCATGGTAATCTATCCATCGTGATGTCTGTGCTGTTAGAAGCACCTTATGAACCGATGCATGATGTAAAACTACTCTTTTAGATGGTTATCCCTTGGTAATTAGGGGTGATGTCTAGACATTGAATACAGAGGTAATTAAGTGGTGGAGACAATGTTATTTTAGGGTAATGTTTTTATAGTTGGATTATGGGGATTAAGGTTTGTTTACATTGATACTTAGACACCCCAGTTTAAGACATAGCTTACATGGCATTTAGATAAAACATTGTTTCAAAAGAGATAATTATTGACTGGTTCGGTTTATGTGCCAAAAAGTATTTATGGTTTAATATTTACACATGGGAGATCCTCCCTTTCTCAGTGTAACCATCGGGGTCCTACATTTGGAACTCCTGTTAGCAGTTATTTTATCATCAAGGCAAACAATGACAACAAAAGCTTAAAAATATCTATGTAAGTAACATTGAATGTTCGTAATTAGTGTTTTACCAAGTAAACTAATGGTTCACTATCAATCAACTCTAGGTGTCAAGTCAGTATCTGAAATATTTCCTTTTGTGTAGCACAATACAAATTTGTTGGGTCTGTACACGCATAAGAAAGTTTGTCACCAATTTTGACTATTTAATTCAGTTGCATTGTTAAATTTAGTTGTACTGGTTGTAACAGACAGAAGGTACTTTTAGATGATGCTTTTATCATACTGAAATGAATTATTAAAGTGAACATGTGTTTATAAGTTAAAAAGTGCCATGTTCCTTTGTGAAGTTATTCCACTCCCATGCTCTTGAAAATGACAATGCCATGTTTCTCATGGACTTGGACCACAGAAATGTGTGAAGTGTCAAGCTACATTTCCCCGTAAAGATGGATTATTCTATTCATGTAACAATCCGTGGCAAAAGTGCTAATTTGGAGCCTGACACCTGCAAAAAATCATTGAAGCGTCTAATAAGTATAGATCTGATGGATGACATACATATGTGTATTCCACACTATTCCACCAGTGGCATACTGTATGTGTGCTTTTTGGGGCAGCATGTATCTAGGTGTGCTCATTATATGTCTCATTCTGTTAAGGCGTGTACATACTGGTTTTATGATCTGCTTCAAGGATTCTCATCTTTAATAAAATCAAACCTCCCTGTGATTAACGTTAGGATTATTCCTGACTGGTTACATGCATCAGTGACTGGCTCAGTTACTAAATAAAATACAAATATACTATTTTGATTGTTAACACATATAAAGTTACACATCAAAATTTATGTATTTCCAAAATATACTGCTTTATTTGTATTGTTCAATTATTTGTATAAGAATTTAGCCAGATACTTTACATGTTTAACATTTCTTAGAAAGAATAAGAATAAAGAAGGAGTTTTTACTTTCATTGTTCCTGAACAGATTTGTATTTTCGATTATGCTGAGAGGGATAAACAGATTTTGGGGCCCGTGCAAGGTTACCCTTATTGTACACAAGGGTCTGGGAATGGTTATAATTCATGTTAATGATGTTTTTATCAGTTTTAGTTATGGATTTTACAGAAAACATCGCCTAAAGTTGGGTAATCATGCATGCCCACTGCTCTTCAAACTCAAGTGCATATTTGATGCAATGTATAAACGATGATTAACCTGATACATTTGCATAACAGGTAAATACATAACAAACATTCAAATACCTGGTAATATGTTCATCAGACATGTTGTACGACTGCACATGGGCTCGTTTTCCATTCTTAGTCCTGAGAAGAGGAGCTCCACTGGATGTTTACATTGAGAAAGGGAGGATCGATTTTCCATGTGATTTAGAACACTGCAATGATATTTATTTTAATACTTTATGTATTAATGTATATTTTATAAATAACTACGACTAAAGCTTTTCTGACAGTTATAATAGCATTAAGCATTATTTCAAAACTTCATATTCAATGCCCATGATAACAAGATGCCAGATCACACCTCTGATCTATTCTGATTGTGATGTAATAGAAATATTGTTATGCAAAGGAACATTTCATCGCCAAAATCTAGATCCATTCCCTGAAAGCTGCTAGAGAATTTAAGTGGTGCTTGATATTAGAATATAGACTATGACCACAACTCTCTTGCATTGTTCCTGGGTGCAGGTTTTTGTGTGGTCTGCTGTGTTCCTCAGCTGCCAGGATTTGCTGATGGTGAACTGCATTCCCAGATCTACAAAAAATATGATCCTTGGTCTGACAGCATCATGCCCTTGATTTGAAGGTTTCACCAAAGTGGTCAACTTCTACATCCTTCATCACTTCATCAAGCTGACACACCATGAAATTGCAAATGTATTTTTTGAAACATAAGGCTTTAAAAAAATAAAAAGAATTGGTTCTCAGGCAATTGCTTTTGAAAATATAGTGCGGGCGGGCAGCAGTTGTTTTTTTTGGTTGTTCAAACTAGTATGTAACCTTATATGGAGTTGTGTACAGTCAACCTTGGAAAGGGCCTCCCAACATAACTATTCCTTGAAGCATAAAATACTGGAATACAGCATTTGATAACCAGTGTGTGCATAATACATGCATACAATGAGCTTCGATTTTATTTCGCAGTGGGAAGCACACAACACAGGAAGTAGCATGTCAACAAATCTGAACTGAAGTAAAGCCTCAGTCACACAGACAATGCGACCGCGATGCAACCTCCTTGCAACCAAAATATTTGACAATCGCAATGAGGTTCCAGGGGTCTCTGAAAGGTTTCACTGAGGTCGCTACAAGGTTTCAGAGCAGCTGCAAAAACCCATTGGTCGCAACCAGTCTTTTGAACATGCACTAAAGACTGGCTGCAACCGATTTGGTGGCTTGGAGGTTTCATTCTTCTCCAAGAGGTCCCCAATTGGTGTTATATAAATCACAGATTGGTCTCACCCTGCAGCGATTGGTTTCGCCTGCTCGTCAACTCTTTGCAACCTAGTGGCAACCTATCAGTGATTAATCAGTGATGAGGCGGTGATCGTCCGGCGCTTCATCAGGGGGAGAACTTGCAAAGAAATGATTTGATTCAGAAAAGCACCCTTTATATGTTTTGATCGGTGATCGATTGACAATTAGTCACCGACCAGTCCCGGTTCAGTTGCAACAAGTTACCGAAGATTAGCTCACTCGTCACCGATCGGTCTCAACTAGTTGCAAACATTTCGACATATATCTGTGGTGAACAGTTGCTGATCAATCACTGATAAGTTGCAAAACCTATCGCTGATTGATCGGCGATCATACCCTTATTCCAAATATGGGCAGAAGTAGTTGCACCGGTCTCAGCGATCGCCAGTCGGTCGCAAAAGAAATCAGTCGCCAAGAGGTTGCATCACGTTCTCATTGTCTGTGTGACTGTAGCTTAAGCAAGTTTGTCCTATTGATACACCATGGAGCAATAAAAGCGTTCATTGCATATCTGGACTTGCGTTTGTAATTTACTTTTAGCCATGACTTCATTCAATTTTGTTTACATGAATTTCGGCGAAATCGTTTACCAGCTGATAGGCAAATCACTTGGTTGATACATGTCATCGATCCCAATTGCGAGGATCGATGCTCATGATGTCAATCACTTGATTGCCTGGTCCAGACTCGATTATTTTATAGACCGCCGTCATATAGCTGGAATATTGCTGAGTGCCGCGTTAAACAACAAACAAACAAACAAACTTCAACTCACCATGAACTTACCTTGAAACACACATTAGTCATTAGAGATACAAAGTCTTAGGTCTTCCTATCACTCTCTAGGGGCGGTCGGGTAGCCTAGTGGTTAAAGCGTTCGCTCGACACGCCGAAGACCCGGGTTCGATTCCCGAAATGGGTACATTGTGTGAAGCCCATTTCTGGTGTCCCCCCGCCGTGATATTGCTGGAATATTGCTAAAAGCGGCGTAAAACAATACTCACTCACTATCACTCTCTTGAAATTTCTTTTCAGTCATGATATTGACCATGAAATTAAGTATTTAAAAAAAACAACTCACCAATGGATTGGGTAAAAAATGTGTAAACAGATGATCGCTATTTCTGGCTTATTCTATGAGACAAATATACATGTAATCTTAATCTCTGCATATGAAACATTGTCTGAAATACAGTATACAAATACCATTGAATTTGTAAATTATTATGTCTGGTGATGTTTTATGGATATTTCATTGGCTAAATTTGCAAAACAAGCACACATACTCCTATTACCACCATGACAATAAAGGAGATGCACAGTAAAGCATTGCGCATGTAATATCGGATTGCATTGTTTTTAAGTATTGTAGCATTTCACTGCCGGGGGGATGTGTTCAAGACATATTTAAGGATTTTTCTTTTTATGAAAATGAAAATAAAAACGAAAGGTGCGTCCGACTTTGTGATGATGTGGCGGTGCCTGAGAACCAAGAGTATTTTTTTTAAAGCCTAACTGGTTTTGCTGTTTTTTTCAAGGTGTTGATAATTTTCATTGTGTTAATTCACAGGGCTGTGTGGCAAGATTTTTCATCCCTGAAACCCTTGGACCAATCAAACTGAAACTTTGCAAATTACTTTTCCATTTATGTATGTAGAGGTGTGAATTGTGTTATGTAGTCTGTCAGATGATTAACTAAATGTATTTTATGTTTGATCCCATTTTGACCTTTGAACAAAGACTGCCGAGTAAACCTGGTGATGAGACATAATGAACGGTGTAGAAATCTATGCAGCTGAATGTTTGCAATGGTTTTTCTTATGGCTACCATAGTATTGCAGTCTAATACAAGTAAAATGATTCTAAATGTACATGTTGACATTTCTAGGTATGACAGCAACCAATGCAACAAACACCACAGATTTCATCAAGGAAAAGGCCTGTGATGGACTCGAGTACCTAGGGATAAGGGAAGACTTCTGGAGACAGCAGAAACCAATGTACGCCAGGAAGAGAGACAAACAGAAACAAGCCCAGGTACTCAGCAGCAGTGGCAGCAAGATGAACAGTACAAGTAGCACTGATCCTATGAAGTACATCCTTATCAGACTGGAACAAATTGATGAAGGTTTGTATGGCACTCTGTCCTCTCAATACAGACCACACATGTAAGGCCATATATTTTCACAGAATTTCAACAGCCTCCACTACACCTGCCCTGGGCATTTCACCATTGTCTGTGAATGTGCTCTCTCAGCGCTAGGATCAGTTAAAGCTGAAATGTAGCATACCTTATTTTCAAGTGTATAATGTGAAAACTCTAACCTCTATAGCATTTAATATATGCCACTCAACATGACATTACATAGCCATGTCTGCTTGTTGAGAAAGCAAGGGGACACACAGACAGACTCTCTACGTCACATACAAAGATAGTTCCAGCACCTCGTGATACCGGTAGTTTCGTGTCTTAATTAGGTATGTTGACAGATTCCCCCTTATTTTTTTAATCTTTTTTAGTTAAAATGAAGAGGCATAACATTCCTGTGTTATCTCATCAACCAATGCCTGATAAGTATCATCCTTGATCCTCCAGCAGCATCAAGAACTGTCTACTTGATGGATGCGCAATCTGTCTATGCAATTTCAAAATCTTTTTCTTTTTCTCTTGAGGGGGTGGTCGGGTAGCCTAGTGGTTAAAGTGTGCACTAGTCACCCCAAAGACCTGGGTTCGATTCCCAACATGGGTACAATGTGTGAAGCCCATTTCTGATGTCCCCCGCCGTGATATTGCTGGCATATTGCTAAAAGTGGCATAAACCATACTCACTCGCTCACTCACTCACAAGTTATGTTTTCTACCAAATCTGAAACAATTTCGGTTTGCAACAGATAAAAGACTCCTGTAAGTGTTCAAATGGTTTAATTTGCCATACTGACTTCAGAAAATGCGTGATTTCATAAAAAAACATGAACATGCCAAAATGTCAAAAGCCTCTGTGTCCACCTCTGGTTGCGATGCAAGCAACACATCTTCGTCTCATGGAATAGACCAGGTGTCGCACAAAGTCCTGTGGGATATCTGTCCATATCTGCTGGAGCATGTTTCGAGGTTCCTGGAGTGTCTGTGGCACACGTGGTTAACGTCGAAGGTGCCGATCCATCTCAGCGAGCCGACCAGGGGATGACATTCACGATGTTTTGTTGAGAATCCTGAACAAGTCGAGCAATATGAGGCCGGGCGTTGTCATGTTGAAAGGTAATGCCTGGGCCATGACGACACAAAAACGGTAGAACAACAGGGCCAATGATCTCGTCGCGGTAGCGCTGTCCATTGAGATTTCCCTCTACCACAATCAAACGGTTGCTCTGTCTTCCTGTAATCCCACCCTATACCATAACGCTGTCTGCACCACTGTAGACATGCTTGATTGTGGTTTCCTGTCAAAATGGGACGTCTGACGGGCCTTCTGGCGACAATCCCTGCACATGTGAGGCGACGAAGTACGGTTGGTGAAGATATTCGTTGTGGTAAAAACATGCACATTATTGAAAGGTAACTCCAATTATGTTTCAACAAAATTCATAAATGGTCACTTGAAAATGGTTTTAAGTTTTCAAAATCTAGAAGGAATTGCATTCAGTTTTGTCGAAAATGTAAGCCACATAAGGACCCTGATTTAGTTTTGGATGGAACTCCTATCAAAATAGTAAAAGAAGCCAAGTTCCTTGGTATTATATTTGACCATCACTTGACCTTTCCACTACATATCAATTACTTAAAAAATAAATGTTAGAAGGCACTTGATCTACTGAAAGTTGTTTCAAATTCGAAGTGGGGAGGGATCAGAAAACCCTCCTCCAACTATACAGAACGCTCATCCGCTCTAAATTGGATTATGGCTCCATCGTATATGGTGGAGCATGTAAAAGCAATTTAAAAAAACCAGATGCTGTTCATCATCAGGGCCTTGAACATGCCAAAATGTCAATTTACAAATCAAAAGCCTGTGTGTTCACCTCTGGTTGCGATGCAAGCAACACATCTTCGTCTCATGGAATGGACCAGGCGTCGCGCAAAGTCCTGTGGGATATCTGTCTATATCTGCTGGAGCATGTTTCGAAGTTCCTGGTGTGTCTGTGGCACACGTGGTTAACGTCGAAGGTGCCGATCCATCTCATCCCATATGGAGTTGTTAGTACCTCTCCGATACAAAGTCTGTATGAGCTGTCCCTTATGCAACGCTGCATTAAATTGTCTTTACAGTACATTTCTAAATTACGTTCTTTGAAATCCAATCCAGCGTACAACTGTGTTTTTTATCCTCTTTATGAAGAACTTTACAATAAAAAATCATCTCTTATTCCACCTCTTGGAATAAGAATACAATCTCATATTTCTGCTGCTAAAATAAATCTTGATGATATTGCCCCCACTCAGGTTTCCTCTTCTCGCCCATGGAAGTACAGCCAGAGGTGGACCTAACATTAACTAAACTAAAGAAATCTGCCACAAATCAACTAGTTTATCAACAACAACATAATGAATAACAAAAAACATATGACACCTACAAATCTATATTTACAGATGGATCCAAGGATGGTGACACTGATGCCAGCGCCACTGTCATTGGATCCAGGACTATCTCATCCAGATTACCTGATAACTGTCCTATTTTCACACGGAAGCAAATGCTATTTTAACAGCACTTAAATATACTCACATGCAAAAGAAATGCAAGTGGTTTTAAGCAAATAAGTAACAAACACGGAACCATAAATTGATACAAGTTTTAGCATATAGTGAAGCCTGATGGTGTGATCAATATTTTTGGTTGCATTTTGGAAGCCCCGAGTAAAAACGCAACATAAAAAACGAATTGCCAAAACTCACCATTTCAATGAATATGTGGGTATCATGCACCAATTTCTTACGAAATCGAAAATGCACAAACTGTCACGAACTGTAGTGGGTATAAAAGTGTGGCCGATTCTTGGACCTACCACTCCTTGGTCAACAGTCCCACGCCTAACTCAAATTCAGAGAAACCAGGCTATCGGACATTTGGAAGCTGGAGAGTCTGTCCAAGATGATGCCCGTCATTTCAACATTAACATAACCACAATTTACCGTCTCCTGCATCAATACAATGCTACACAGACCACAGATGACCTTCCTCGGAGCGGTCATCCTAGGGTCACCACACCTCGACAAGAGCGGCAGATTACCCGTCAACATCAGTGACATCCGTTCCTAACTGCAAGTGAAAGTGCTCGACAGATCATAGGAACACATAATCGACACATTAGCCGGGAAACTGTGATCCAACGTCTCCGTTCCAACAACCTCAGATGTCGCCCACCAGCAAGTCGTCCTGTTCTTCAACCACCGCATCGACAAGCACGACTTCAGTGGGCACAGGGTCACCACAATTGGCGTCATCGTGAGTGGAGACGTGTCATCTTCTCTGATGAAAGTCGCTTTTGTGTCTCCCATGCAGACGGAAGAGTCAGAATTTGGCAGCGTTGAGGTGTTCGTTTCGCTGACAGAAACGTTGTGGAAAGGGATCAATGGGGTGGACCTAGCGTCATGATATGGGCAGGGATTGGACTTAATGCGAGACTAGGACCCATGTGCTTTCTGAATGTTGGTCAAGGTCGGGGACACGGTGTCACTGCTCAGCGGTATATCGACCAAGTGATCAGACCCAACGTTGTTCCATTTTTTGCACAACCACCAACAACACATTTTCCAGCAGGACAACGCTCGTCCCCTTGCTGCCAGAGCTACCATGGCCTTTCTGCAACAACACAACATCCGTGTTCTACCGTGGCCAGCCCTCAGCTCTGATCTGAACCCCATTGAACACTTGTAGGATTAGGTTCAAAGGCGTCTGCACAATGTGCGCCCAGTCCCTACAACTGCCGATGAACTATGCACAGCTGCTCTGGATGTGTGCAGGAGGATCCCTGCGGCCTTCACAAAAAGTATGATCCACTCAATGTACAGGAGATGTGTGGCAGTGATCAATGCTAATGGTGGTCACACCAGGTATTGACTGACATTTTGGGTATTGACCCAAAACTGTGTAAGCCCTTAACATTTGAAAAAAACAATTATGTCATCTGCCTTTTAATCCAATAAACTGTCTTCAGTCAAATTTGTGTCAATCTTGCCCTATTAGTATTTCTTGTCTTTACTGTTGAAAATAAATAACATGTATACTGCATACTCGACTTGCGTTTCTTTTGCATGTGAGTATACAATAAATATGAGAAGTCTTCCTCCCCCAAACTTGAAGATGTTCACTTTTGTTTCTGTTCACTTGTCTTACTTTGTCACCATCAAGTGTATCTGTCAAACTGCATGCACTGTCCAAGACTGCAGAGTTTAAAGATTCATTAACTAGAACTTGTAATTCCTCTCCTTTATTGCCAGTAAACAACACAAATTCTTCTTGTTTGTCTTGAAACTTTCTCTTTTTCACATTTTTTATATGAGTTGTGGCAGTCTTTGGTGAAGTGATAAACTGACTCACAAACCTTGCATAGAAGAGGAGGTCCATCATGTCCAGACAGATTCTGTACTCGCTGGTTGTCATATGGTTCACTTCGGAACCTGCAACAATGATTATTTCTTGCCTGTGATCTGCTGTAATTATTGTTGTTTCCTCTGCCAAAGAAAACATATCCACATCTACCCCTTTTACTTTGAGGAAAGTAAGCAGTTTTCTCTTCCTCCACATTGGTTGTGTTGGTTGCCACATATGTTGGTTCTGTCTTTATCTGAATACCACTATACCCCTCAGATGGCGGCATCGCTTGTTTGCCAAAGAATTTCTTTAAGGACATTGCTGTCTGTGTGATTTTCGTAGTTGACACCAGTGATAACAAATTGTATGTCCTTATACTCAAGACAAGCGTTTTTAAGTAACTTGAAAGCAAGCACTGGTTCTTAAAGGGTCATATTAAATTTCTTTGTTTTAATGTATAACTTTTCAAATTCAGTGACATATAATTCCATCGACTGATCTTTCAATCTCTTGTACCTGTCAAACTCTGTGTAAACATCATATGCTTCTGAAAATTCATCTTTCTTGTAAATACCATCCATAAAAGTTATCAGTGTGTTGACCGCTTCCTTTTTCTTCAACATTCCAACACCCAGTTCATTAAATGCCTTGTCACGTATGAAAATAACACCCTCATTCTCTGGTAATGATAAAGCTATTGCTGGCCCTTGTTTATCTTCAGGCAAGTCTGTCATGGATCACTGTCTGCCACACACTTATTCAACCCACCACCCATATGGCGAAGATTCCGTAAACACAGGCACTCTGTAATTACCCGACACCATTTTTCTTGTTTGTTTACTCAAGCTATCGCTTATCTTCTCACAGAACCACACTATTCTGTGCTTGTCGGCACATCGAGGGGGATGTCACAAAGTTAGTTTTTGCAACTCAAGATACCAGTAGTTACATATCTGAGGTATGTTGACATAATGCTCATCACATTGTTTAAAAAAACATACAGGGAGTGGAGAAGGGGTAGGTATTGTTCATCCAGACAATGAGTTACTTCTCTTCTAAAGCTGTTTGCTTTACTGTCAACTTACAACGCTGGAAACAGCATGTTAACAAATCTGTATGGAGCAGCTGCTGAAGTTTGCCAGTTCGTCCTTTTATTACATTAACCACAATCAGATTAGCACTAGCGATGCCTTGAAACAAAGCACTGACTCATAATAAATCATAGTTGTAAAAAGACTATTGTCTTTAGTTTGTCTCTAGTCCCTGCAAGTTATTCATTCTTGGATCTGTCGTACTGGATGTTTTGAATTCCCGGTTGTATTTTACTATTTTAAAACTTATCCTATATCACACGTTGCATTTCTCCCTTCTTTTTCGATCCTATGTGGGAACGTGCTTGAATCATGTTTCCAGCTTCTGAAAATAAAAATAGCCACCCAAGCCCCCCTGCATCTCCATGGTTACGTCCAAAAGCTAGGTCAATTATGTGCCTCTCATGCACGCAGTGCCTGCTTGAACTGACCACGTGTGCGCCTCTACCAATTCATTCTCTTTCTTATTGCCACTGTGTGGCATCATGTTTGAACATCACAGAATTGTTTGTCCTTCGCCAAGTTGTCGAGTATCCTAAATAATATGGGAAAAAGGACAAACAACGTCCTGCTTGTAAAGAATGCAGATGTACCTATTCCACGTCGGATCCCCACTCATCATGTTGTGACTGTCGGGGACAGTGCACCCTGGGTTCCTGATGTGCGGAATGTCATTTACTAACTGACTTAGCGTTTAAAGTTTACCTGCACCATTGTCATCGTCGTATTGCCAATCCCTGTTACGACACAACAGTCGGTTGGGAGTTTTGAACCAGCGGACCCTGAATCGGTCATGTAGTGGATAGCTGATAAATTGCAGTTACAGCAGATGACTTCAGCTGCGAATAGGTTCTCCGGATTCGCAGTTCCATTGGCTAGTTCTTCCAAGATCAAGCTCCCTCCCAGACCGGCCTTACCAGACATTTACTCTAACCTAGATACAGCTTTTGTGCTTTTAGTCGATTACGGGATCATCTCCATATCCCCCGCTACATCCTTGAAGACACAGGCACTCATGGCATGTCTACTACTTTCGCCTCCCCCGATACTGACAGTGACGTTTCTACTGTGTCTCAGAAGCACCCAACCTCGTCTAATGTGGTTGAAGATCTGAACCTAGCGCACTTGGATGCCACAGTCTCCCGTACTCTCCCACTTGTGTCTACTATTTTGTCAGCCATGGACACGCTTTCCGTCTCTCTCTTCACTCATTCCCAAGAAGAGGCCTTTACTTGGGGATTAATCAACCTTACACAAGACAAGTTTATGCAGATCTAGGACTTCCTCACTCACCTCAAACTGTATCAGCAACCCTAGTCTTCCCGCTCCTTATTTGCTGAAACAATACAACAGGTCGCACAGGACGTGTAGAGAGATTCTAGCCTTCAGGTCACGGTGGACCCAGAAAAGACAATTAGAGGATCAACAGAAAAAGGATCGCCAATATCCCCAATTTGTTCCTGCCCAGCGTGATTTACGTGAGCTTATTTCTTCCCATGAGTCTACATGCAGACTTTCAATGCTACGTACCTCGAAACCCCAACACATTTTCGCATGACGGAGGGTGGATTAGCTCGTCTGTAGAGACCTATTAGTCTTAATTTATGAAGTGACCAATTGGTGCAGCCAATCATATGCATTCAGTCACAATCGTACAAGGGCTCAACAAGTTCGGTTCGTTGGTGTTGGCACAACAACTGTCTCGCCCCAGTTCATGCAGAACATAAACTGTTATACTGCGTAATCCTTGTGGGTTATAATTGTATATACTGAATAAATCATTAAACATTTACGTGGTGTTACATGTTTTTTTATTGTTCGGGTTTCCCAGATTGAGTCCCTTTTGGAGGGTGGATTAGCTCATCTGTAGAGACTTTTTAGTCTTAATTTATGAAGTCACCATTCGGTGGGGGCCGATGAAAAAAAGCAGCAAAACAACAACAACAACAACAACAACAACAACAAAAGATCGGTGTCCTGAACCTTTATTCCGCTCACCTCTGCCTCAGGTATCTGTGATGTAGGGTTTTGGTTCGAAGGTTCCAAATTTCCTCTTCTTGTTTTGGTTCACTTCATAGACTCGAATGTGTTAGATAACCATGACCAAGCGTTAAAAGAGTTACCAAACCTAGTTCACTCTATGGTCTGTGGGAGATAATTCCTGTGTTTTGTTTGAAGCTTGACAGTTTTAGATGCTAGACAGTTTTTCAAAATTCGAAAACAAATTCAAAATTACACTGTCTAGACCCAGCTTCCTCGTGCATATCTCACGGTTGTAGTCTATACAGGCTAGGGTATTTCAGCCCACCATCCAACCGTGGGATAAAATGCAAAGTGTGAGATAGGATAAGTTCAAAAATTTGGAAATTTTAGTATAAATTGTATATATATATATACTTATCCTATCTCACACGCGATAGGCCCACCCGACCATCCCCGCATCTCATTTACTCTAGCCTTAAAAGGCTCTGTGAAAGAGAATGAATTGGTAGAGGCGCACACGTGGTCAGTTCAAGCAGGCACTGCGTGCACGAGAGGCACGTAATTGACCTAGCTTTTGGATGTAACCAAGGAGATGCAGGGGGGCTTGGGTGGCTATTTTTATTTTCAGAAGCTGGAAATATAATTTAAGCATGTTCCCACATAGGATCGAAGAAGAAGGGAGAAATGCAAAGTTTCAGATAGGATAAGTATATAAATATACAATTTATGCTAAAATTTCCAATATTTGAGTATCCAAATTGAGCATCAAATTCCCCGGATGATTTGAAGACTCCAAATAATAAAATGTCCATGCATTCACACTCGCCAACTCACTTCAAACAAAACTTCACTGACCTCACTGCGATTGACGCAATTATGTGAAATGCAGGAATACCTTCTAACAACATGCAAATTTCCAAGCTGAACTAGGGGCAGTCGGGTGGCCTAGTGGTTGAAGCTCATCACGCCTAAGACCCAGGTTCAATTCCTGACATGGGTACAATGTGTGAAGCTCATTTCTGGTGTCCCCCACCATGATATTGCTGTAATATTGTTAAAAGCGACGTAAAACCTCACTCACTCACTCACTCACTCACTCACTCACTCACTCACACACTCACTCCAAGCCAGCTGATTTGTGTGTAAACAGCAGCAAGTAACTGAAGTGTTCTCGCGTGACTGCTGATGACACGTGAAAACTGAGAATGAGTAAAACCAGACCAAGATTATGTTATTGAATCTATTATTTAAGATATGACTCAAAGAATGACACCAATCCAGATGAGGACAGTGAGATTGATGATACACCTGAGTTGCTATCCCTCCCCTACCAGCAGCTTGGACACTGAAAGTTATTTACGCCTAGAAATCTAGTGTTGCCCGGTAATAACCTCACAAGACTATGGATAATTGCCAGTGAAGATGACTTTTGTTGAAAATCTGAAGATTTTTTGTTTTGTGATGTTAGCCAAAATACAGGATTTAGACAATGATGTATTAGAGGTTGCATTCTTTGAATTATTAACAATGATAACTATTGTTTAATGTTTTGCCTACCTGGACTGTTATAATTATTTATAAATTCTTAATCTGAGATGACATTTTTATTGTAATGTCTATTCTTACAGCTCAGGCTGAGGGTCACTACCAAGAAAGTTTGCAGAAGTCCCAGAAAACTCTGAAACGTGTTGATGAATGGAGTGAGAATGAAGTAAAGAACAAGAAGGAAGTGATTGCAAACCTGCACAGTTGTATGGGCAATGCTTATCTGGAAATGGGCCAGCATGTTGAGGCACTTAAACATCATGAAATGGATTTAGATATTGGGAAAGCTGAGTATGTATTTACAGTATAATCTGCTTGGATAAGTGTATTCCCATTATCCTTGTATCAGTGTTGCTTAGATTGATGTAACCATTCAAGTAAAGATGACATCAATAGAGCATGTATAATAAGCCTTTCATTTCACTTTATCTTTTCACCTTCTCATTCAATTTTACTCAAAACTTATCACTGTGATGAGTGTTGAATTACACAATTGTGTCTATTTTTTTTTTACAGAAATTTAGAGGAAGTGAAATCCCGCGCCCTTGATAATATGGGTCGTGTCTTAGCAAGAATGGGAAAATACGAAAAAGCTATAGAAGTGTAAGTATTAAAGAATTTCATAGTTCATATTTAATTAAAATAAATGAGTTTGTGACAAGTAATGTTGCATCGATATGCAAGTGTTGATTAATAAGTTCTGAGCTTTACACAGAAGAAATTGCTTTATAGTGAAATCCACATAAAATTGAGTTAATAGAGCAAATTGTCGCTGACCATAGGAGAATCTTCAAACCAAAACCCTACATGACCTGCAAGAGTCTGTGACCTTTAGTGCAGTGATTAAGTACTTGCAGAAAAAGGGCTTAACACCAATAACCCCTTCCTATGCACTGTAAAGATGTTGGATGCATGCAGAGCTTAAGTGTGTCAGGAGAGCATTTAAGATGACCCCTTTCCTGGAAATCCAGTCATGTCAGCAACATTAGAAATGATTTAGAGAATCCACGATTAGGCGATGACTGACCAGCGAATATTGTCATGTTGCTAGTTCAGTAGTCATTACCCAGGATCGAGTACAGTCCATTAATTATCACAGAAACCTTTACTCAGTTTGAAAGCTTCTGACATCTGATAAAAAACTCAAAAAGCACAACAAGGTTGTGATGATCTAGCTCTGTTTGAAGCTCATCCAGAAAGGTTCTTGCAGTGATTTGTGACTTTGGATGGAACCTAGGTTCACCACTTCAAGTCCACAAAAACAATCGAAAAAGTGGAAGTATTTGACATCACCATCACCAAAGAAGGCAAAGATTGTCCAATGACCTGTGAAGGTTATGCCCACTATGTTCGTTGATGCTGAGGGTGTCATCATGGTTTACTAACTTCCAAAAGGCAAGATAATAAACAGTGCATAGTGTGCTGCACTTTTGAGGCAAATTTCGGGATGAAATTAAGACTGAGAAGCTATGGCTTCAATTCACATGTATGTGTCACACATTTTATGCAATGAGCTGGAGGCATGCGTAAAATCACATAGAACCCGATGTTAATGTGTGGATACGAAACTTCCCCCCCAAAACGAAACTGCTGTATATGATTTGAGAATGACTTTACGGCGGCCATCTTGGTTTGCTCTAGGCAGGCAGTTGAGTGACAACCTGTGTGGGTGCAGGAGGTGTATTGTGTTGGCAGTCGGATTTTGAATACAAGTGTATATGAAGAACCTGTGTCTCTCTATTTTATCACCCGAGTGATACTGCTACAACAAATTTATATGATTTGAGAATGACTTTACGGCGGCCATCTTGGTTTGCTCTAGGCAGGCAGTTGAGTGACAACCTGTGTGGGTGCAGGAGGTGTATTGTGTTGGCAGTCGGATTTTGAATACAAGTGTATATGAAGAACCTGTGTCTCTCTATTTTATCACCCGAGTGATACTGCTACAACAAATTTATCTTTCTGACATATTTCAATCTGCCATTGTAAAAGAATTTTTAGAAATTGAAATTTGATTGTTCTATTGAGCTGAGGTTAAAGGGCAAGTTCACACGGAAATGAACCTATTTTTCTTGTACTTTTCCACATTAAAAGTGTTAACATAGAAGTGTCATAGACAAAAATATAAAAATATCACAATTAATTAACATATTTTTCGCATTAAAACGATTTATATTTTTCACATTTACCAAGTGTTCTATTTCCACAACAAAAACACCATGGCTTATGCCCCTTGCAATATGACGTCATTGGTGCCAATTGATAAACATTATGACGTCATCATGCTTTGTTAGAGCCGCTTCACGTGGTGTAGGTCCAGGTGTGTGATTCTAGCGTCTCAGATGCCAGCCAGCATAGTATTATGCTGAGTCACCACTGCGCCGGAGTGTGTCGTAGGCCATGTTGTTTTACCGCAAACTGGTACTTGATATCTTTTGCGTTGAGAATAGACAGGGACCCAGTTGAATTGGCACCAATTACGTCATAATCTAAGGGGGATAACTCAGGCCTGTTTAGCTCGAAAAACGAAGGCCTCATAACGGCATTTCATTTTCACACTATTGTGAGCTTCCTACGTTCACTGTGAAAGAAATCTGTGTATATTTTCAAACACAGATACTAATTAATTCTAAAATTGCGTTTTGTTTAGAAAAGAAAGAAAGTGATTTTTGCGTGTACACTTCCCCTTTAACTTGTACTTGAATCCAATCAGAAATCCATGTGCAGCCTGTTTTCACAGATTTATTCTCCCGCTAAGAAATCCATTTGTGGCTTGTTTTGTTCATGGTGGGGTATAAAGGATTTATTATATATACCATGAAATATCACTGAAAAGAGGCAGAAGTGACATCGTCAGTGGAAATGACGTCCTCATTATCATTCCATAATGTTGGCAAGAGCGTAACATATACAATCTACCAGAAGTGATGTCACAAATAACATCAGAACCGGAAGTGATGTCTATATCACCTAATGGAACTGAAGTGAAATGTAAATACTCGGAGTCAGAACAGCGCTCCGTCTTCGGTTTCCCTTTATCAAACAAAACGTTTTGTTTTCTCCTATATGTTCAGACACATTCTTCATATATATATATATATATATATATTATATATATATATATATATATATATATATATATATATATATATATATATATATAGCTGGTAAGAAACCGTTTATTGGTGCTATTTGTTAAAGTGATGCAATTGTTGTTACTGTTAATCCTCTTCTGTTAATCCTCCACCTACTATATATATTCTGTACTATGTCCCTCATTCCGTCTTGCTTGACAACGGTATAAGGATCTATACGGAAACGTCACTTTTCACAGTATAAAAGAAGTTGTTATTGATAAAATTGTGTCTACCTTGTCATCCGTCAACTTCTAAGTAATGCCTATCAAACAATTGATGCCTTATAGGTGCCTGCTTTGTCACCAATTATACAAAAATAGATCTAAGTATATTTTTCTTTTCTTGCAATTCAAAACTGTATTTCACAATACATTTTATGTTGTGTCTAAAAAGTGTTTCTTTCTGTTGTAATATATCTGGGGTCTAAAGGGATGATGTAAATCCGGCTAGGGTCCATGCAGGTAGCTAAGGTACTGTAAGACCCCATGGACCCTAACATGTTGATCCACCTTCAGCTACTTCAGCCCTTTTTTATTATGTATTGTTACATATAGTGATATCTCTTTTTGGTTGTATGCTAGTTTTAAATATTAATCTGTGATTTTCTAGTTGTTTTACTGTCCATCAGGTTTTTATCTATTTAAGCTGAATATATGTATTTTTAAGAAATAACTTCTTGTCACGATATGGCTGAAATATTAACTCACACACTCTACACTGCCAGCAATGTAATAGTTGGGAAGGAAACTAGTATACGCCAATCAAGGCAACTGCACAAGTGCAAGGTGGAAAAAGGTCACATGTTTCCTGACATAAAGAAGAATTCTTTTCTCTGTGTTTAAGCACATGAGTGTTTGGGTTTTTATAACTGTAATCGTTACTAAGGAAAGGATATTTTCACATAAGTAGATAGTTTGGAATGTATAATGGGTCGTAGCTCAAGTTTAAGGAAAAGGTGGTGAGCTCTGGGGTCTTGTCTCCCTCAATCCAACACCAGGATCTGAAGGTAAGGGTGCTGAATCTTGGGGTTGCTTATTTATCCCGAACCCCCCAAAACCTTTGACCCAAGAGTTTCTCCATGAACAGACCAAGTTAATACAATCAGTCATCACCTCTTTTATGACAGATGTTCTAGATCATCATTCGTCTGCTATGAGAAGTTATATTACGGTCTTCAAGAAAGCTGTTTGCTAAGGGTGACACATCTAAGCAGAAGCAGCCCGAGTTTCCTTACGCATTCCAACCTTTGTCTCTCTCGAAGCAGCAGGACGCTCTTGGAGACCTTCATCATCTGACATATACAATACTAGATGGAAGTAATGTCATAGGTGGAAGTGATGTCAGAACTGGAGTGATGCCATCAGAACAGGCAATAGATCAACAAGGAGGCGGTAAAGATGTCATCATAACCGGAAGTGACGTCTTCCAAACAAAAAGTGACCTCAGAATAACTGAAAGTGATGTCACAGTAAAGCCAATATCTTTGGTTTGAAGAGAATATATTGTGACTGTACTTACCGGTTTTTTTCATGAGCTTATGTTGCACTGTCAGCTATCTGGGATTACTAGATCCCTCCTGTTCTCTCTGGTGTTAACTGGCTATGAAGTAATGGAGGTATTGTATTCCAAGGAATAATCAAACAAAAGTTATCATTGTGTATGATCCTCCACCTACTATATATATTCTGTACTATGTCCCTCATTCCGTCTTGCTTGACAACGGTATAAGGATCTATACGGAAACGTCACTTTTCACAGTATAAAAGAAGTTGTTATTGATAAAATTGTGTCTACCTTGTCATCCGTCAACTTCTAAGTAATGCCTATCAAACAATTGATGCCTTATAGGTGCCTGCTTTGTCACCAATTATACAAAAATAGATCTAAGTATATTTTTCTTTTCTTGCAATTCAAAACTGTATTTCACAATACATTTTATGTTGTGTCTAAAAAGTGTTTCTTTCTGTTGTAATATATCTGGGGTCTAAAGGGATGATGTAAATCCGGCTAGGGTCCATGCAGGTAGCTAAGGTACTGTAAGACCCCATGGACCCTAACATGTTGATCCACCTTCAGCTACTTCAGCCCTTTTTTATTATGTATTGTTACATATAGTGATATCTCTTTTTGGTTGTATGCTAGTTTTAAATATTAATCTGTGATTTTCTAGTTGTTTTACTGTCCATCAGGTTTTTATCTATTTAAGCTGAATATATGTATTTTTAAGAAATAACTTCTTGTCACGATATGGCTGAAATATTAACTCACACACTCTACACTGCCAGCAATGTAATAGTTGGGAAGGAAACTAGTATACGCCAATCAAGGCAACTGCACAAGTGCAAGGTGGAAAAAGGTCACATGTTTCCTGACATAAAGAAGAATTCTTTTCTCTGTGTTTAAGCACATGAGTGTTTGGGTTTTTATAACTGTAATCGTTACTAAGGAAAGGATATTTTCACATAAGTAGATAGTTTGGAATGTATAATGGGTCGTAGCTCAAGTTTAAGGAAAAGGTGGTGAGCTCTGGGGTCTTGTCTCCCTCAATCCAACACCAGGATCTGAAGGTAAGGGTGCTGAATCTTGGGGTTGCTTATTTATCCCGAACCCCCCAAAACCTTTGACCCAAGAGTTTCTCCATGAACAGACCAAGTTAATACAATCAGTCATCACCTCTTTTATGACAGATGTTCTAGATCATCATTCGTCTGCTATGAGAAGTTATATTACGGTCTTCAAGAAAGCTGTTTGCTAAGGGTGACACATCTAAGCAGAAGCAGCCCGAGTTTCCTTACGCATTCCAACCTTTGTCTCTCTCGAAGCAGCGGGACGCTCTTGGAGACCTTCATCATCTGACATATACAATACTAGATGGAAGTAATGTCATAGGTGGAAGTGATGTCAGAACTGGAGTGATGCCATCAGAACAGGCAATAGATCAACAAGGAGGCGGTAAAGATGTCATCATAACCGGAAGTGACGTCTTCCAAACAAAAAGTGACCTCAGAATAACTGAAAGTGATGTCACAGTAAAGCCAATATCTTTGGTTTGAAGAGAATATATTGTGACTGTACTTACCGGTTTTTTTCATGAGCTTATGTTGCACTGTCAGCTATCTGGGATTACTAGATCCCTCCTGTTCTCTCTGGTGTTAACTGGCTATGAAGTAATGGAGGTATTGTATTCCAAGGAATAATCAAACAAAAGTTATCATTGTGTATGATTCTAGGAAAATTACCTCTATTACATCAGGTGTAGTCCCTCCCTACCTCCCCAATATATTTGCATCTGCATAGGTTTTTGAAAAGAAGTTCCTACCTTGTGCTTGTCCAGTTGCCTTGATTGGTGGATACTCTTTTCCTCTAAACTATTAGATAGCTGGAAGTGGAAGGGGACTTCTAAAGATTTTATTGTGTGATTCATCCTCAAAACAGGATTTATGGCTATGATGTAATAGAGATTCTTTGGAATTATGCACAAAGATAACTATTGTTTGATTTCTATTTGTTTCCTTCTTCAAACTCATCAGTCCAGAATGTTATATGACAAAGAACTGATCACATGTGTTATCAGCATGAGATGACTCAACCTCGTCCTATTGATCAGAATAAGGTCTTGCCAAAATGTATATAAATCTTGGTAATTCACATCACTCTGTTAACACTTCATGTATGTCCTTGCAGATGGGAAAAAAAACTGCCTCTAAGTAAAACTGCTTTAGAAAAGACTTGGCTGTACCATGAAATAGGGAGGTGCTATCTGGAAGTATCAAGATACGAGGATGCCAGAGATTATGGAGAGAAATCACTTGCAGCTGCAAGGGAAGCTGACGATGAGGGTTGGCAACTACATGCATGTGTATTGGTGGCACAGTCAGAAGGTTAGTCAACAGATGCACACGTGTGTATTGGTGGCACAGTCAGAAGGTATGTCAACAGATGCACACTATGTATTGGTGGCACAGTCAGTAGGTATGTCAACAGATGCTCAAATGTGTATTGGTGGCACAGTCAGAAGGTAATGCAACAGATGCACATGTGTCTATTGGTGGCACAGTAAGAAGGTAAGTAAACAGATGCACACGTGTGTATTGGTGGCACAGTCAGAAGGTATGTCAACAGATGCACACGTGTGTATTGGTGGCACAGTCAGAAGGTATGTCAACAGATGCTCACATGTGTATTGGTGGCACAGTCAGAAGGTAATGCAACAGATGCACATGTGTCTATTGGTGGCACAGTCAGAAGGTATGTCAACAGATGCACACGTGTGTATTGGTGGCACAATCAGAAGGTATGTCAACAGATGCTCACATGTGTATTGGTGGCACAGTCAGAAGGTAATGCAACAGATGCACATGTGTCTATTGGTGGCACAGTCAGAAGGTAAGTCAACAGATGCACACGTGTGTATTGGTGGCACAGTCAGAAGGTAATGCAACAGATGCACATGTGTGTCTATTGGTGGCACAGTCAGAAGGTAAGTCAACATGCTCAAGTGGTCATGGTGGCACAGTCAGAAGGTAACGCAACAGATGCACACATGTGTATTGGTGGCACAGTCAGAAGGTAACACAACAGATGCACACATGTGTATTGGTGGCACAGTCAGAAGGTAATGCAACAGATGCACATGTGTGTATTGGCGGCACAGTCAGAAGGTAATGCAACAGATGCACATGTGTGTATTGGTGACACAGTCAGAAGGTAATGCAACAGATGCACATGAGTATTGGTGGCACAGTCAGAAGGTAATGCAACAGATGCACACATGTGTATTGGTGGCACAGTCAGAGGGTAACTCAACAGATGCACATGTGTCTATTGGTGGCACAGTCAGAAGGTTCCGCAACAGATGCACACATGTGTATTGGCGGCACAGTCAGAAGGTAATGCAACAGATGCACATGTGTGTATTGGTGGCACAGTCAGAAGGTAATGCAACAGATGCACATGAGTGTATTGGTGGCACAGTCAGAAGGTAATGCAACAGATGCACACATGTGTATTTGTGGCACAGTCAGAGGGTATGTCAACAGATGCACACGTGTGTATTGGTTGCACAGTCAGAAGGTAACGCAACAGATGCACATGTGTCTATTGGTGGCACAGTCGGAAGGTAAGTCAACAGATGCACATGTGTGTATTGGCGGCCGGGTCAGAAGGTAATGCAACAGATGCACATGTGTCTATTGGTGGCACAGTCATAAGGTAAGTCAACAGATGCATACATGTGTATTGGTGGCACAGTCAGAAGGTAACGCAACAGATGCACATGTGTATATTGGTGGCACAGTCAGAAGGTATGTCAACAGATGCACATGTGTGTATTGGTGACACAGTCAGAAGGTATGTCAACAGATGCACATGTGTGTATTGGTGGCACAGTCAGAAGGTAACGCAACAGATGCACATGTGTGTATTGGGGGCACAGTCAGAAGGTAATGCAACAGATGCACATGTGTATATTGGTGGCACAGTCAGAAGGTTCCGCAACAGATGCACATGTGTCTATTGGTGGCACAGTCAGAAGGTAAGTCAACAGATGCACATGTGTGTATTGGTGGCACAGTCAGAAGGTAATGCAACAGATGCACATCAGTGTATTGGTTGCACAGTCAGAAGGTAATGCAACAGATGCACACGTATGTATTGGTGGCACAGTCAGTAGGTAAGCCAACAGATGCACACATGTGTATTTATGGCACAATCAGAAGGTAACACAACAGATGCACATGTGTGTATTGGTGGCACAGTCAGAAGGTAATGCAACAGAGGCACATGTGTCTATTTGTGGCACAGTCAGAAGGTATGTCAACAGATGCTCATGTGTGTTTTGGTGGCACAGTCAGAAGGTAATGCAACAGATGCACATGAATATATTGGTGGCACAGTCAGAAGGTAAGCCAACAGATGCACACGTGTGTATTGGTGGCACAGTCAAAAGGCTAAGCCCTACCTCCTAGGGTATGGATACATTAATGTGTTTGTGACATAGCTTTAAGGTGATAAAATGAACTCATTTTTCTTATTAAGTGTATGTTTTGCAAATTGAATAACCTGCAATTTTCATTATAATGTGAAAAAGATGCTGGCACTCTAGGTAATATTTTAAATGTGACTGTAAATAGGTCTACCACAAACAATATCGGGCTAGATATTTCAGTAAATCTTCCTATCGTTATCCGAGTTAATTATTTATATAATTTTTCAGTGAAATGCAACGAGTTCCAGGCAGCAGCTGATTCCTTTGAGCGAGCGCTAGAGATGGCAGAGGCTCAGCAGGATTCTGCTGCCGAACAGGCAATTAAGAAAGCTTTAGAAGATGTTAATGACAAAATAGTTAGAGGTGTGAAGGATGAACCAGATGAAGATGCAGATGATAGACAAAGGAAAAACAGCCAGGACAAAGAAATGGGTGAGACAGACAAGTACACCAGTAAATAATTACCATTGTGAATATCATGCACTTAGATAACCCAACTCATCATGCCTCATTAAGACATTCAAACAGCCAGCACTGTACACTCCAAGAACTTATTCCAGGTCTGAGAAAAAGGGACGATTGCACAAGAATACCATACTTATCATTAAAGTCTGCCTCCATGGTCTAGAGGAATGATTGTCTCTTTTGACCTCATGAAAGAAATTTGAAATGATGTAAATACAATGATACTTCAAGAGACAGATGATATGCTATGTGTGATGTTTTTCCACTCTGCAGTCAGTGTTACATCAGCATAAAACCTATCAGAAATCATGTCAGATGATGATTCTCACATACTTTAACCATTTCAGGTTCTAGATCTTGGTTAAAATGTAAATTTGATAGCATATACCATATACAATTACTTCACTTCATGCTAATACATGAGACTGTTGTAACTGTCCTGAATCAGTCGAGGCTTTTTGTCATCTGTTCTTAATAACTAACACATCAGCTGAGCTGCTACAATAGGTCTCCATACTCCAGTCTGTAGTGTTTAAATATCTGATGAGTTTTGACCCTTCAACTGAGCCCAGGAAGTGATAAAAGTGCTTCAATATACATGGTCAATGATGTAACTTTGTCTGATAATTGAAAGGCTTGAAGCCTTATTGTAATCGGCCGAAATATTATTTATTATTAATATTCCGCCTATTTTTGTACCAGAGCTAGCAAAGTAACCACTTCCTTGATTCCGTTCAAATTTTGTATGTGTATATGTAGACTGTTGAGTTCTAGATGCCACAAAAAGTCCCAAGGCCACAGGTTCAACGACCAAGGGCAGATAACTAAAGGTTTTGAATGTTTATTCTGCCCTATTGCTCCACAACCGCTTGTCCGATTACTTTCACACTTTGCATGTGTCTGCTGCTTTAGGTGATTGACATTTAATATTCTTTAACTTTGGTCATTGGTTAGGTGGTTTGGCAGTCATATTGGATTCAAGGTTTTCACAATGTGTTTTGGGACATGTCTTCAAATCCTAACTCATCTGAATTCACCGCATGAAATGTTTTCAAACTTTCTGAGAATTGTCTCCATACATTACACATCAAACCCTGTTAGCCGATTTTGGATATCTTTTTTAGTTACAGATATATCTTGTAAGGTTCTTGATAGAAACCATTGAAAGTTAACAAGTTAATGTTCTATATGTACTTCATTTTTGTCCTTGGTTTGCATGGTGAAAGTACCACCGCTTGGTGGTAATATTTGTTTTTTTAGGTAAAAACCATCATTTGAGTACAAAATACTGAATGAAGCGCTCAGAAATTCTAGGATTATCTCCCTTTCACTGTCTACTGACCTTGAAGATGAGGGTTAGAATTGGTCTTCAGCAACCCATGTTTGCCTTCAGAGGCAATTATCGGGATTGGGCAGTCAGGCTCCCTGACTTGGTACTTCATTTCCCAATTGCTAAATGCTACCATAACTCACTTTTGATGGCATTGTTAAAAGCAAACCATTTGAGGATTTGAACATTGTCTAGGTTGGAAATGGGTTTAGAACACTCTGGTTCACTCTGGCACTCACCTATTTCATAGTGGTGATGTCCTGCAAACGATGACTATCTTTTGACGGAGTTGGTACAAGCAAACCCTTTGAGGATTTGAACATGAGGATTCGAGGACGGGGATGGGTTCAGAACAGCCTTGGACACCCCGGCACATGCAAATGTCGTAGCGGCGATGTCCGCAACCAGTGCCTACATTTGACAGCATTGGTACAAGATTTGAGGATTTGAACATGGTCTAAGTTGGAAAGGGATCTAGAACACCCTGTGATGCTCCTGCACATGTCAATTTCATAGCGACGATGCCCCACATTTGACGGTGTTGGTACAAGTAAACCATTTAAGGATTCGAACATGGTAGAAGTCAAACATGGGTTAAGAACACACTGGGACACATGTGGTGATGTCTCGCAAGCGGTTCCTTACGTAGGACGGCATTGGTACAAGCAAACCATATGCAGATTCGAAATATGGACGATGTCTGAAATGGGTTTAGAACTTCCCGTGGGCGTTCTGGGACACGTCATTTTCGTAGCAGCGATGTCTCACAAGCGTTTCCTTACTTTTGATGGCGTTGGTACAAACAAACCATTTAGGGATTCGAATATGGACGAGGTCGGAAACAGGTTTAGCACTTTATCTAAGTAATGTGACTTAAACCCAGGGTCCTGACGAATTCAGAACACTAATCCATCTGACTGTAGTTCAATTGACAAAGAAGTTACAGCCTGCTAAAGAGTCACCAAGCTGCCGAAAGGCTGTCGAACCCTATTGTAATCGTTCGATTTAATATTATTGTTATTACGCTGATTTTTTATCCCCCCGACATATAATGATGGGGGGATATAGCCATCAGTATGTCCGTCTGTCCGTCCGTCAGGCGTCCATCTGTCCGTCTGTAATCATTGTTTGTCTGGAGCATATTTCCTAAACCGTACAACCTAGCTTCACAAAACTTGGTACACTTACCAATCCGGCTCAGTAGTAGTGCCTTTTGCTATTTAGAGATTTTTTTTGGATTTTTTATTTTTGTCGTTTCCATGGAAATATGATGAACTTGAATTTGAGGGTAGTGCTCTTGTCCGGAGCATATTTCCTTAACTGTACATCCTAGCTTCACAAAACTTGGTACACTTACCAATCCGGCTCAGTAGTAGTGCCTTTTGCTATTTAGAGATTTTTTTTGGATTTTTTATTTTTGTCGTTTCCATGGAAATATGATGAACTTGAATTTGAGGGTAGTGCTCTTGTCCGGACCATATCTCCTGAACCATACAACTTAGCTTCTCAAAAGTTTTTACACCTATCAAGCAGGTTATGTAGTGGTGCCTTTGCTATTAACAGATTTTTTTTTTTCTTTTTTCAATTCAAATTGAAAATTGATGAACTTAGGCTCCAGACGAGGACATTACCCTATCTTCTAAACCATGTGACAGAGATTCACCTAAATTTATGCACATATCAATCATGTTCACTAGTAGTGCAGTTTGTTATTTATAGATTTTAATCTTTTTAATTTGTAGCCCCTGACATATAATTCTTAGGTGTACTATTTACTGATATCATATACTATATATGATGTGAGCTACATAACCTAGTACATTCTCTTTATGCCTTTGTCTCATGAGGCTACTACAGAGCTATTCATATGCGAATCTGCAAAGTTATTGTTATTACAATTTCATGAGATCATCAGAAAGTGAGCTACATGAACCAATATTTAATAACCTTCATTATATTTCTAGTTTGGGCATCAAGGAAAAAGATTTCCTTGCCAATCTAAATACATTTGAAGGTACACACAGTTTACGGACATGTCACGTCGGGGGGGATATGTCATCTTCGGATGACTCTTGTTTACTAGAGCTAGCAAAATAACCACTGGCTCGATTTTGTTGAAATTTTATATGTGCATGTAGACCATTGAGTACTAGATTCCACCCAAATCCCAAGGCTGTAGGCCCAATGTCCAAGGGCAGATAACTGAAAAGTAATTTTTGAAGATATATTTCGCCCTATTGCTCCGCAACCGCTTGTCCAATTACTTTCAAAACTTGCATGTATCTGCTACTTCCGCTACTTGACATTTTATATTCTTTGACTTTTGTCATTGGTCTTATGGTTTGGCAGCCATATTGGATTCAAGGTTTTCACAGTGTCTTTCGGGTACCTGTCTTCAAAGGCAAACTCCTGAATCTGTTAATGTGTGGATATGAAACTCCTTGAATATGAAACTGTGATTTGAGAATGACTTTACGGCACCCATCTTGGTTTGCTCTAGGCAGGCAGTTGAGTGACAACCTGTGTGAGTGCAGGAGGTGTTATGTGTTGGCAGATGGATATTGAATACAAGTGTACATGAAGAGCCTGTGTCTGTCTATTTTATAAGAATCTACTGCATGAAATGTTTCCATACCTTCTGAGAAATGTCTCCTCACACTCTAATAGCCATTTTTGGATATATCTTTTTTTGTGCCGGTCATATTGGATTTTGATTTTGATCATTTTTTTCACAGAAATTTTGCTTTAAAGATCATATCTTGTAAGGTTCTTGACAAACTATTGCAAGTTTACATGAAGTTAGTGTGCGATATGCGTCTCATTTTTTAACTTATCTTGCATTACTCCGTATTGCATTTACTGCTGTCTTTTGACAGAGAGAGACGAACTGTGTGAGATCCAGCTGCTGAAGAAAGTTGTCCCAACCAGCTCAGGAGGCAGCGCCCTCTCACAGTCGGCACGTGACCCGGAAGTCATGACGTCACACCAAAACACATAACTGCTTTGTCACCTCCACAGACGGACGTACTTTGTATCCCTTGAGGAAATTAAAGCTTATTGTTTTTATATTTTGCGATCGTCTTCAGCATTGCCCGTAACGGGTTTCCTGTCACCATCTTCGTCGACAACGCTGACTACTCCGGCGCCTCAAGAGCTCAAGCGCCTCTTGAGTTACGGCGTCTCCGGCGCTCCTGGCGCCTCTGACTACTCTGGCGCCTCTCATGTCTCCGGCACCTCGAGAGCCAGATTCCTGGCGCCTCTGACTACTCTGGCGCCTCTCATGTCTCCGGCACCTCGAGAGCCCCGGCGCCTCAAGATCTTCGGCGCCTCTGATGTCTCCGGCGCCTCTGGCGCCTCAAGAGTTACGGCGCTCCCGGCGCCTCAAGAGCTCCGGCGCCCAGATCAGTAAGCCAGATCAGTAAGCTTTAACAAGCTCAGATCAACAAGCCAAGTATCTCATCCGATCTTCTGCTTCTGCATTGGCAATCGCCTCCCTGGCGCCACTGCCATCTACTTCTTTTACTGACGTCTCATCTCTCGTCACACGGAGAGGCATGGTGAAACAATTGTCGCCGCTCCTGTCGCTACTCTCCCGTCGGTCTTCGTGATCGTGACTATCGTTCTACTTCCTGGGTGG